GAGAGGGATCACCGGAGCCCAGCAGGTCGAGGCTGCGGTGGCCGGGAGCGGCCACTGCACTCCAGTCTGGGTGACTGAGTGAGACTCCAACTCAAAAAAAAAAAAAAAAAAAAAAAGAATTCAGACAAAAGAACTATCTAGAAATTCTACCAAAATAGATGAACCAGAGTTTATGCTTTGATTCGTTCCTCCCCAGCCGTGGCCCCCCACCGATATAGTCCACAGTAGAAATGATGTTGTAGCCTGAGTTTTGGATTCTTCATGACTTAGGAGAGCAGTTGATGTTAATAGAGGGCCATCAGAAGACTAGATGTTACTGACCTCATTAAGGACACCTATACTTCTAGTGGGCCTCTGAGAGTTCTTCAGAAGCAGCCCCATCCCCAAGAGCATTGCCCTGGCCTGACTCCACTCAGGAAATAGGACCCACATTCTGTTTTTGTTTTGTTTTCAGATATAAGACCTCCCTATATTGCCCAGGCTGGACTCAACTCCTAGGCTGCAGTCCATCCTCCTGCCTCAAGCCTCCCAAGTAGCTGTGACTACAAGCATGCACCACCATGCCCAGAAGGATCCAAATTCTTTTTTTTTTATTTAGTCAATGTCTTAGTGTCACCCAGGATAGACTGCAATGGCATGATCATGGCTCACTGCAGTTTCAAACTCCTGGGCTCAAGTGATTCCACCTCAACCTCCTGAGGAACTGGAACTACAGGCATGTGCTACCCCACCCTGCTAATTGCTTGATTTTTTGTAGAGATGGGGTCTCACCATGTTGCCCAGCCTGGTCTTGAATTCCTGGGCTCAAGCAGTCCTCCCACCTCAGCCTCCCAAAATGCTGGGATTATAGACGTGAGATACCACACCTGGAAGGATCCATATTCTTGTTGTTCCCAGATGTGGATTCAGTTTTTACCTCCCACTCATGATTTCTTCCCCATCTCTCTCACAGTAATCCTGCTTCTCCCCAGGATAATCTATCCCTCAACACCAACTCTGAACTGACATCACTGAAAACAGTCCAAATCAGATTCTCAGGAGATTAAAATTTCTTTTATTTCAATGCACATCTATAGCATTCACATACCTCAGCCCAGGGCAGGGGTTGGAGTAGGTAAGGAGAGGTATACTCAGTTTGTCCTTTCCCCAAAGGGGATTAATAGCTAGGTACAGACCAGCAGAAGCCCAACATCCTGAGTTCCAAATATCTGGATGTAATGGCAGGGCTCATTCTGCTCCAAAAAAGCTCAAACCCACTCCCAGGAAGGCAAGCCTTCTGCTACTTTGTTTCCTGCCTACCCGTAGGACGCAATGTCCTTCTGTCTGGCCAGGCATCTGTTGGAGAGGTGGATAGAGAAGAATGTACCCAACTCTCCACCCATAGCAACTATACTAGGTCTCTGATACCCCATTTTGGAGCATTGCTGAGGTCAGTCTCTGGAGGTACTGCTGTCGCAGAGGGGGCAACTGAGAATATAGCTCAAAGCCCTCTGGGAGGGTGGAATTGGGAAGCTTATAGTGCAGGAGGTGCCTCCGGAGACCCTGCAGAGAGGGAAGAAACTTTATGAAGTGGGTAGTGAGATCCTGCTGAGTCTCTGTCCCCTAAGATCCTCCAGTCTCCCACCCTCCTCATGGCCCTGACCCTACCTCATCTGCCAGCAGACAAGTTTTCTGCAGCATACTCCTGCAGGCAGTATTTACCTCATCCTAGAAGCAGAACAGGGAGAGATGGCACTGAGCTGAGGGCTGGTGCCCACCACTGGCCTTGCCTGACCCTCACCTCTTCTCTAGCTGGCACAGAGGCAGCTTAATTGCTAGCTCCCTTACTCCTTCTGAAGATGGAGATGTAACTTACTGAGCTCTTTGGATCTTGGGAGAAGATGAAGCTATTGACATGAGCCACAGCCACAGCATACAGCACTGGGCACCAATGTAGACGGAGTGCACCAGTAACCAGGGCCCGGAAGTAGAGCTGAAGGAGGGCCAGGTTGTCTTCAGGAGGGTCCGTGTAACACTCTAAGGCCACAGGCAACTGTGACAGGGGAAATGAGACATGAGCATATATGAACATACATCATTGAACAAGATGGATGGTTGATGGTCACATGAAACCAAATCATGAGGGCAGAGATCAGGGCCTGGACAGGCATCCATGCCTTTCTAGTACAAGGATCCAGGCTAAGGACTAAAGAGCAGACAGCAGGGGAAACTGGGAACTGAGAAGCAGTTGTGAATTTCTACTGCCTACTATTGCTTGTTTAATACATTTAAAATTAAAATTTCCATTTCTCAAGCTTCAGTTCTAAGGGAAAAAAATTAAAATTAAAACTTTCTAAATGTCACGTTCAACTGCTTGATTATCAAACTTTTCAAAAGTTCATGTTTTTTGGAACAGTAATTCTCTTTCTAAAATGTTATTCTTTTTTTTTTTTTTTTTTTTTTTTTTTTTAGTTGACATCTTGCTTATGGCAAAGCAAAAACAGGGTTTTGAAAGACGATTCTGGCAAAAGGGAGTCCTCATATACAGGACACTATCCGGACACTCGCTAAAGAAGAATAAGGAATCTGTGATACACTAGTCGACATTTCGAAAAATTCTCAGGGTATCTTGCTGTGTATAAAAGAGAATCAAGGCTTCGAGCTCGTCTAATGTTTCGGAGATACTTGTCTTGCGGGTATTATGAATCAGTCATTTCAAGACTCCAGCAACATTCTGGTCGTCTTGAAAGTTGTAATCAGGTATCTGGTAGTACAAAGGCCTTAGGTTCCTCGGGAAAATTACCGCCAGATTACCGGGAAAAAGTATCATTTTGCCG